AACGGTAGTATTTGGATTGGTCTCACCGGTTAGAAGGAGACCGTGAGGGTTGTGGCCATTTCAAGTTGTAATCTCGTTGGATCTGGTTTAAGACTTGTTCCATAGGGGAGTTGAGGGGTGTATACCGTTCGAACCGATCAGGCGATCGGGTAAGTGCCAATCGGTTGGCTTGAGCGGTTCGGTCGGTATACTGAGGTGTTTGCTGTGTGTATTGGGTGGTTCTGGTTTCAGATTCCTTTCTCTTCTCTCTGAGGGTTGGATTTTTGGTTGTGGAATCTTGGTGGGCGGCCAGAGAATCTTCGGCATTCATGTATTTTTGGGCTTTGGAAAGGAAGGTTGCCATGGAGGGTGTATACCGTTCGAACCGATCGGGCAGTTGGGTAAGTTCCAATCGGTCGGCTTGAGCGGTTCGGTCGGTATATTGAGGTGTTTGCTGTGTGTATTGGGTGGTTCTGGTTTCAGATTCCTTTCTCTTCTCTCTGAGGGTTGGATTTTTGGTTGTGGAATCTTGGTGGGCGGCCAGAGAATCTTCGGCATTCATGTATTTTTGGGCTTTGGAAAGGAAGGTTGCCATGGAGGTTGGAGGGTTTTTGGGGAGGGAGAAAAGGAAATCGGATGATCGTAAACCAGCCATGAAAGCCGTGAGAATGACCTTGTCATCATTTTTCGCCACCTGCAAGGCCTCGGTGTTGAAACGAGTGACAAAGCTACGTAGCAATTCCCCCTCCGTTTGACGGATGTTGAGGAGCTAGGTCGCCGAGCGCCGTTGGCGCTGGGCACCAATGAAATGGCTAAGAAAGGACTCACTTAGGTATTGAAAAGTAGAGACGGAGTCCGTCGGCAGCTGACTGAACCAGAGTCAAGCCAACCCCTTGAGTATCACGGGGAAAGCCTGACACATGATCTCATCAGGAAAAGCATAGAGGATCATTAGGGTCCTGTAAGTCTCCAAGTGATCGACCGGGTCTGTTGTGCCGTCGAAAAAGTCGATCGAGGGCATTTTGAACTTAGGAGGTAGGGTTGTCTCTGATGGAGGCGACAAACGGTGGATTGGCTGTTGTGGAGGGTTTATTCTGTATGTTCTGCATGATTCCTTGAAGTTGGAGTTTCATGGTTCGGAGCTCCACATCCCAGGCTGGAAACGTTGTCACCACCAAAATGCAATGGAGGTTGGACACTACTAGCCTCTCTCTCAGGAGCAAGTGGTTGGATTGGTGGTTGTAGACCCCGAGGTGGTGGATTCATATCTTGGGGTGGGGGTCGCAAACCCTCCAAGTTGGACGGGTGGGCTTGTTGGAAGGGATGGCTTGGAGTTCGTTCTCGGTTAGGTGGTATATCTTGTGGTGGTGGAGGAGGCATAGGAAGGTCTCGTTGAAGCAAAGCGTTGATCAAGGCTTGGTTTTGTTCGGCTAGGCGGTTAATGTTGTTGATGAGTTCTGTGAAATACTGAGGTAGGTTGTTTGGGTTAGGAAGGTCGGCTTGGGGGTCGACAACGTTATGTTGAGAAGCCATGGATCTCGTTGTGACCATCCACCTTGGTGGGTAGTAAGGAGGAATTATCGGGAGTGGGTCTCCGGTAACAATGAGCACGATTGTCACACGAAGTAAAAGGTTTCCACAGACGCTAACTGATGGTGCTACTGGTCCCTGAGGAACGGATCAGGCTGATCCACACTTCCCACACCGTTGTCCGATCGCTGGGCCCACTGAGAAACCTGCACAAGAGTCCAATGGGGAACGGGAGTCCCCAGCGAACCCTCCAACGAGCAAGTCAGAGAAGAGAGATTAATGGAATATAGAGATAGGATGGTGATAAAGAACTTAACCTTCTTTTTGCCTTACCTACTTATATCCTTTATTCATCATTTCTTTGTCCATTCCGACCTGTCATGTTGGCCGAAAGCCTATGTTTTAGCTTGCCTTATTCATGGTGAGGCTGTTCTGTCCTGACGTGAAAGAGTTCTTGTATTAAATGCTGCAGAGAACCTCATTAATGGCTGATGTGTGGTGTAATAACTCTGTAGGAACTTTGTCTGCTTATGTGGCTGGTTTTTCTCTTGACAAATGTTTAGATGTCATTAGTTCTTGGTGCAACGTTGGGCTCTAGCAATGTTGGGCTTTAGTATTTGAATTATGTATTGGGCTCTAAGTGATGGGGCCAAAAGCCCCTATAGGCCCACCTATGTCAGAAATAATTTTTAAAAATTAAAAAAATATCTTTTTTTATATTTATTTTTATCAAATTAATGTATATTTTATCAAATTGACAGCTTTGTTTTTTTAAAAGGAGCAATAATGCCTTTAATTGTTCTCATTTGAAACGACATTCAAAATTCAAGATAATATATATCACAATTGAAATTTCAAGGATTAAAGTAACACGAATCCAAAACTACAGAAACCGTTAATATAATTCGCCCTTATTTTTAAAAGTTACCACTAAATTCTAATTTCTTCAATAAAAAAAAATGCATGAATACCAATAATTCCTTACAAATATTTAAATTTATAGGCATGTATTTATAAATATAAATATTTGTAAAGAATAGGTGATTTCAGTGATGGTAGTAATGTTGTGTAGCATAACACTATAATGTTACAGTTGTCACACTTTTGTATCATTTTTAATATATCATCTTTACATCAGAGGTAAGCATAAGTAGTGAGATTTATTATATTAATATAATAATAACATATAAAATAATATATATTAAAAAAAATTGATAATTATAACACGGTTTCGTTTGGTTTTTTGATTTTTTAACTTTTTTTACTATTTTAACCTGGGCTAAAAAGCTTAGTTTGAAAAGAGCTTTTTGATTTTTTAGATTTTTTGATTTTTTTTGTGAGAGAAGAGTGTAATAATTATGGATTGGATGTGATGTTTTATTTGTTGTGATTAAAATAACTTATTTTATCTTTTGTGATTAAAATAATAAAAAAATTCTTGCCAAACGAAAGCTTAAGAGAGAGAGAGAGGAGAGAGAAAGAGAGAGCGCTAACAACAACATTACAACCATACGACTTTCGAGGAAAGAGCAGTGGTTGTCACGAGGCTGGCGGTGACGGAGAAGATAGTGGTGGGATTTACTTCTCCTTCTGTTTTTTTTTCATTTGTCCGTACGTACTTGGCACCGTCACGTGAAGTGACTTTAACATTGAACATTAAAAATGAAATTTACAAGAATCATGTGTAGCCGTCGTACGACGGCAGGGTTATAGAAATCAAAAAAATAAATTGTTTACAAATTTATCTAAAATATTTGTGTATTTTATAGGAGTGTGCGCGGGTGTGTTTGGATAGTTTAGGAGAAATAATTATAATCCTAATCAAATTGTTCTCAGTGGATTAATAATTTTATAATTCATTACCAATTTGAATTCCCGCAATTACAAAATCGGTGAATTAATTTAAATATTTTGACCATTTCAAACCGGTAATAGTCAATCTATCGGTTTGAACCTAATACTATATTTGAGGGTTTATAAAATCAAAATAAAAGAAATGCTTTACCGAGAGAGGCACATGCAATGAGGAGAGTGAGTCGTCAAAAAATGAGAAGATATATATAGAATTGAGATATTAAAGTTTAAATTTCTTTTTTCAAGTTTAAATTTAAACGTGTGCAAGAGTGCAACTTTACCAACTTACTACTCGTACAAACGAAAATAAATGAGGCAACCTTTAAAATTGAATTTTATTATTTTAAAATCACATTTATCTTGTTTTTTTTTTTCTGTATTTTTCTAACCTCATTTTCCTCATTTGTAGCCACCGACTAGTACGACGAACCCCTGGCTGCGGCAACCCACCGCCACCGCCACCAACCACCCATGTCCCTTTTTTTTTTCTCTCTCTCTCTGTCTGTGTGCCATTGTCAAGACAACCAAGCATTTTGTTGAACTGTTTCTAACAACAAATCAACAAAGACCCAGTTGACACGCTTTTTGTTTTTCTTCTCTTGATTAAACTAGTGTGTCGTCTCTTTCTCTAAATTCTCAATGAATCATAACCCCCACATCAGAGGGCTGTTGAAATTCTTTTATCTTGTTAGAGACGAGGCTGTAGTGTTAGATAATGTCTTAATGGGACCACATAATTAAATGTGGTGTTATTATTTATAAGAAGCCTACAATTTAAGTGATTCAATTTAGTTAATAGGCTTAAGGGTATATGTGTTATGGACCTAATGTGTAGATACTAGTTGTATAATTTCTATTTCTATGATCTTCTACCCCCTCCTCTTCATTTTCCTCAGCAACCAACCAAGTGTGCATTATGTTTACCTCTTTTATGCTCATGCTCTGCTCTGGATTCATTTTCATTGTTCACAAGTCAACTCAGGACAGTTGTGTATAGGACACATCTACATTATTCTTGGAATGGAATTGTTGAGGTGTGTATTGTTGTTGTGGTGGGTTTTCTCTTGGGAGCCTAATCATATATGCATTGCACTCTGTTGGATTCAATTAATATCCTAGAATAATTTGACCATTCTAAAATTATTAAGTTTGCTGAGATGGAGCCACCTCCTTGAAGAAGTGATTTCAGTGTTTCCCTAACAGTGTGTTTATACTTGACAAGGGTTGCATTCTAGATCTTAAGTAACAATTCACTGCCATGTTATTACTGGAGTGTTACAACTGATGCTGTTAGGTTGTTAGTAATTTAGGATTACAACTTTTCTTTTGAGGCTAAAAGGATGTGCGTGGATCTCGTTTGGGGCTTTTCCAAGGTTGGATTTAGAGCACGAGAGGATCCCAATTATCTACGATCCTCATTAGTTTTTATTGTTGTTCATCTTACCAAAAAAAAAAAAAAAAAAAAATAAGTCCCAAGGGGGGGATAAAAAAAAAAAAAAAAAAAAAAGTGACAAGACTAATAATGAAACGTAAGCAACACCACACCACACCACACCCCATTATATGTAAATCTATTAGTATGTAATATGTAACCGCGTAAAGAATGCGTAACAGCCGTTGACGCCGGACTCTTCCAAGTCATCCCCCCATCCTCAACCATAACCTCTCATCACCCTTCCATTTCTCTCTCTATAGGTATATAAATGCATATAACCCATCACAAACCCACCCCACACTACAAGACTACCCAAACACCTACTTCTACTTCTCGCTTTAAAATAACTATGCAAGAAGCTATTCCTTACAAGATTTGGGTACCAAATCCCCAACACCCTTTTCAAAGCCGATCAGCACTGGTGAACAAAGATATTGGATCAGATTCAGGATCAACAAAAGGTGGTGGTGATGATGATATAAAGAACATGGTTTTGGAGAACGCTGTCATAGTGTTAGGCAGGCGTGGTTGTTGCATGAGTCATGTGGTTAAGCGACTCCTTCAGGGCCTAGGTGTAAATCCGGCAGTCCACGAGGTCGACGAAGACGATGAGACTAGTGTTTTTCGTCAATTGGAGGGCATCGTCGGACAAGCTGCTGGTCGGATGCAGTTTCCGGCGGTGTTCATCGGAGGTCAGTTGTTCGGAGGGTTGGATCGGATTATGGCTACTCATATTACTGGAGAGTTGATTCCTGTGTTGAAACAAGCTGGGGCTTTATGGCTTTGATGTGATATAATTCATTTTCACTAATTAGTTTCATTTCTTAGCACTTTTTTTTTTACACTTTGTTTTCTTCTTTTCCCTTACAAGAAATTGCATGGAGGCAATTGATTAGTTTTGAGCTTTTTTTATTTTTATTTTCCAATTTTGATTTAAGAAAAGAAAAAGGTCACATGGATTTGTAAAATTGTTTCACAAGTTTTGAATAAAAAAATTTGGGATGTGCATAGATCATTGTATGGATAAATAATTTTGTGGATATATTTTGAAGGATCGATAGGCAATACATGAATGATCTCTCCCTCTCTCTCCTAAAAGATTTGGGTGTAACAGTAACACGGTTGATGTGGTATCCGAACACAATAAAATTACAAAATGTGGAATGTAAATCTTAATTTTCAGATGCCACGAAAAATTTAAATAATTAAATAGTGATCCCAACACCATGGTATCACTGTTGGACTCAAGGTTTTTTCATCTCTCTCGTTGAAATTTCTGGGACTTTCATTTATGAGCCACGCAACTGGGACTTTTTGCTTAGCTCGAATTTGAGCTTGGCTTGAATGGTTTGAATGGTTTAAATTTCATCTGGTTAGTCGTCCGGTGAAAAGATTGATAATTGTGATCTAACAAAATGATAATTGTGATAGACAAGTGTTTTATTTGATCGTCTCAATGGACGCCTGATCGATAAATCAGTAAACAGTAATATCAGTCATTCGAGGCAGCTCAATTTAGCTACCAAGATTTTCTTCAATTATTTTTTTGGGGCTTTGGAGGTTTCCACCTACATTGGATGCAACGTGTTCAACTCTCCTCCGTTATTATTAGTGCTCGAAACCACTATTTGACACTCTCAGGTCCACATGTTAATATTTCAACAATTTTTTTGAATGGTTCATAATAAAATTTTAGCGTTTTAAGCTCACAAATCACAAACAAAAAAAAACAAAAATTAAAAAAATTACATCATTAGTTAAGTCTGTATGTTCTGTTCAGTTGTGTCATGATTTGATCTTATTTTATTGATTTTTAAATTGTTAAAATATTTGAGAAACTTAACAATAACAAAGTCCATTTTACATCATAAATAAGGGATTCCCAAAACAAAAAAGTGGTGGTGCTGTGAGAATTGCGTAGGAGGTCATGGTGGTACAGGAACTTCATTAGATATTACCTAGTTTCAAAAGTCCAAGTTCACCTGAAGATAGGGAGTTACAGAATCGGAGTAATACATTGTTCAAGTTAAGGACAGAACTAAATTAAAAGATAGTTCAATATTCAAGGCCATGCTCACATACATAACAATCGTGAAATCCTCATTTCATTTTTTCGGCATGCTGATTTGAATACCAATACACAATAAGAAAATATTTGATAAACATATCCGTCAACCAAAAATGAAAAATGTACTGGGTAAAATGTAGTTCCTCACTGGTCCATGTTTGTCCAGAGTCAGGTTCTTGCTCACTGTAATTTGTGGGGTATAGAACAGCTCATATGGAAATGTTAGAAGAGTTAAAAGACAGATTAAAAAACAACAAATGACGCTTCACAGCCAAGATTTTTAGCTTACAGAATCAAACCATGAATCAAAATCATCTAATACTTTAGACTTCAAAACAGGGCCAGAGGAAGAAGACATAGTATTACGATGGGCAACCCTTACCTCATGGGACTGTGATGTGTCCTTTTGATTTGTTGGATTGGATGTTTCCTTGAGTAGATCATCAAGGGCATCATCAAAGTTGGCTGTAACTGAAGCTGATTTAGATAAATCAGGTCCTTTCCTCAAATGTTGAGCAGGAGCTGAATGAACATATGGATTTCCTCCTAATAGTGAAGTTGAAGTTTCTTGTTGATGAACTGAAAATCTACCACCGGAGGATGTTTCCTTCAGTAAATCATCAAGGGCATCATCAAAATGGGTGGTCACTGAAGCGGCTTTGGATGCATCCAACCTTGACGAAGTTCCTTGTTTTTCAACTGAAAATGTGTCCGTAGACGTTTTTTTGACACCAGAGGAATCAAGGCAGTTCTTTTCATTGCCCAAGTCAAGAAGGAAATCGAGGTCTGCTTCAGCAGCTGCTGCCTCAAATCTAGATGATTTCTCATTTGGGTTTGCAACAGAAATGCCCTTTGATTGTGCTCTATACTGCACTGTACTTTCACCAGTTCCCCTGGATTGACTTTGTTTATCCTTAATTGGATCCGTTGACTTCAATCCTTTATTAAATGAGGTTGAAACTGAATCGTAAATGGCAGAAGAGTTGGGTGACATAAAGTCACTAATGTGATCCTCCATCTTATCAACTAATTCATCAGAATTTATCACCACTACTTCACTTTGGCATGCAACTTGTACTTGGTCAGATTCCCGATTGAAGCTTGTTTGTATTTCTTCTGTGCACTGTAACATACAACACAAAATATGTAAAACCCATACTATCAAATCCATTAAAATGCAAATCACTTGGAAAAAAATCTCATTTGGTAATGACTTGCAAAGGTTTAAATCCTCTCCAATCCAGATTAAACTGTAGCAATATTTCTAAACAGGGTTGGTAGGTCTCATAACTAAATCATAGCATTAAAAAGTTAACTGATATGCATTCTTGGGATAAAAAATTTAATTGCTGACAATTAAACCAGTGTGACTATTAGATCTGAAACAGAACAATTCTTAGTTGCACAGCGTGGGAGAGACAGCATTATGTATTTTATATTATAAATATATTGTAAGAATTTTTTTTATTACTTAGTTACGATATATATGTCAAGTGTCTACATTGCATAACCACTTAAAACTGAGCATAGAAAATTCTCCTCATAAAAATAAGTATTCATCACAAATAATATATATATGTTTACTCCTCACTCACATAGCCCAAATTGAAGATCTATCAAAAAATCTACATCTTTTAATTCCTAGAAAAAAAATGTTTAAGACCTCTACAATGTCAATTGTTGATTTGTTTATAAATCAATCAACTAAGACTCAACCCCCTGCCACATTAATGTAGGTAAATTTAGGGGTGATGTTTTAAGGGATTTCTAGTTTGACTCTAATTTCTAAGAGGTAAGATAAATATTATTCTCTACATAGTATCTTTAGCCATGGTAGCTTTTCATTTATTTCTTTGGAATTCATAATTTAAGTGGCATTCCTATTTGGAATCACAATTCTATTTTGACGGAAATGCGGTTCTGTCGTTATTCTTACTTCACACAGTGGAATCACTGCTCTAGAGCAGAACGGTCACCGCCCAAAAAGAGATTTCTGGAACTGAGGAACAACTATTATACTATACATTCAGCAACAGCCTTTCTTGAAAATTTTGAAGTCATCAAATTGGTAGCTTATCAAGTTAATAACATAGAAGAAAAAGTCACTACATTAAACGGCAAATATAATGCATTGCACCCATGCATGCACTGCATATATGTATTTACATATGCATGTTCATGTGTAGAATAATAAGAGCACAATTCAAGTATTCAACCTCAGATGACCACATCAATAAAACTTGAAACCACAATGATTACAATACCATGGAACAATTTGTAACCAAATGGACAAACAATGATAAACTATTCCACAAGACATAGGAAGCATTAGTAAAATGCTCTATTTCTTGCTTAAGCCTTAGCAAATCCCTGGAAAATAACCCTAATTGTTCATCATACACAAGCAACAACACTTACCTGGGCTATGAAGAAATACACAATATTTTAGGAAGTATCCAATACTCACGTATCAGCGTAATCCAAAGTACTTTTGAAGAAATCAAATTTTGCAGACGGGATAAAATAAGATAGGAAGAGAAATGATGCAATAACTATTTTGAAAGTAGAACCTTAATTAGCAAAGACTACAAGAAAAATCTAGATACACAAATGAACAGTTGCTCCAAAAACCATCAAATAATGCAAGGGGACATCCAAACTTTTATGAGTAATGCTACATATACTGAGATTGCTTACCCACTAGATACAAGCCAGTAAGGACCGACATTAATTAATACAAGCGGGAACCACTTATTTGTGTCTAGTGAGTAAGAAATGTGGCTGTATAGCATTTTCCAACTTTTATATAGAGATCCAAAATAATTAAGTTGCAGTCCACAAACTGCAATTGCAAAACAGGCAGTGATAATTCGGAAACAACTCAATTAGTGAGTAAAACGTGTTAGATGCACAGAAAAGAAATCCATTTTTTGAAGTTTGATCCATCCAGAACTATTCACCTGAGAAATTTGTGAATTTTATTCAATAATCCCAAGAAATCATGAACATCATACAAAAGATACTTGAAGCTCGGGAAAAAATAGGAACATTCACCTCAACTCATGATGACACTTGCCATGGACTGTAACAGGACAATTTCAAATTGCTTAAAGTGTGTGGATGTGTGTGTGGATGTGGGTGGGGAATACATACCAGCTCTGGCGGTAAACAGTCTTGTTCAATGAAGAGCCTTTGTGACAAATCTACTTTTGAAAGTTGTTCCGCAAGAAGGTGTAGATTAAGGGACAGAAAAGACGCCTATACCATGAAGGAAAAGGGAGAGAAGTAAGAGAGAATATCCATGTGAGGCAACCAACACATGTCAATTAAGAAAAGAAAAAAAAAAACACAAGTAAACAAATAAACAAAGGAAACAGTTAGGTTGCGTTTGGTAGAGCTTTAGAATTATAATTTGATAATAGAGTTGTATTTTGAGTATGTGAATTTTAGAATTATGATTTAAGTATAGAAAATTTGTTTGGTTATGAGTTTTAAAAAGAATTGGAATTGAGTGATGTGACATATAATATTGAAAAGTGAGTGTTTTGAAAAGTGAGTGTGGAATTAATTGTCTAAAGTTGTAACGAAACAACACACTCAAACTAAGGGGTAGAATTAAACTTCAAAAACTCTACCAAACAGAGGCTTAGTAGCTTGCAGTAAATTCTTGGAATTTGCTGAAAATTTAGTTTGAAAAATGGAATGCACAATAGGGAATCATATAGTTAAGAATGTGATAAGCTCCTTTTTTCTTTAAAAAAAAGGCATGACAAGCCAAGGTCAAATTATAAGCCACGATACCCCATTTGTTACACACGTGGCTGCATTGGCAGGCAAGGTAATTTGCAGTCGGCATACAAATTGTCTACACTTTCAGCTCACACACGTCTGCCCAAGAATTTACGGGTTTCCATCACGGTAACTTTTCTTTTTTTTCTTCTTTTCCATATCACACACGGAAGCTGCAGATTATGCCTATTTGCCATGTCCAGACTCAACAAGGCCGGCCCTGGGCGAAGGCCACTAAGGCCTGTACCTAGGGCACCCAAATTTTGGCACAAAATATGGCCCCAAATTTATTAATTTTATATTATATTAAAAGTTCAAAGCCTAATCTTTTTTTATTATTTGAGGCTTAGTCTAAAAAGCCCCTCAAAAAAATCTATTGAGCCAAATTAAAAATATATATAATCATTGTTAAGTCCAATTAATTTGAGTCTTTGTAATGATTTTTTCGTATCTTAATATATAAAAATAAAGTTTAATGATTATATGTGTAATGAAACTTTTATAGCTACTAAATAAAAAAAAAATTATTGGAAACTTATTATTTTATTCGTAAATTCTTTTTATAAAAAAATATATGTGGGAGGGCCCCGCTTTGAAAACCCGCCTAAGGCCCTATAAATCTCAGGGCCGGCCCTAAGACTCAAGCTGTTCTAAGACCTAAATTATCTAACAGTCTGAGAACGGAAAAAATAGTGGGAAAATTTGGGTTTTGACTTAGCACTACCCCCACTACCTCCCTACCCTTCTCCACTTCAAAATTTCGAAGGCCTCCCATGACACTCCCCAGCCTACAACCTCTTGCTTCCATCACCCCTTCATGCTGTAAATCTCATTTTGTGCATAAGGTCCCTACTTACTTTCAAAATAACAAACAAAACAAATTTTAGATATAAGCTAGAACTGTAGAGCTTTATGTATGAACTTGTGTATACAGGCTAATAAATGGGAATGGTTAGATTTTTTAATAAGTTTATTGAAAGATAATTATGCATATCTGTCAACCCTACACAATTCTTCCTATTTATCTCAATTTTGGAATTTGGGTCACATCTAACAAAGAAACAACGAATGAAAAATGATAAAATACCTCATGACTGGTTGTTGCTCTATCCTCCACAACAAAATTATCATCTCTGGTCCATGATAGAATTCCTTGTCCCCTTACAGAAAGCAGAGAGCCAACTCCCTGATTGAAGTCTAAGAAAAATTGAAGTCAATCTCCTGTAATACTGCAGATTGAAACTTTCATATCAAGCAATTCTCAGTCCACATGAATTGATTGAAATTCCATCAAGACTTCTCAAACAAACATTGTAAAAGAAAGCTCTGTGGCTGCTTAAGAATAGTAGCTTCATAACAAGACAAACAACATGGTAATGTGAATTTTTTTATTTTTTTGACAAGTGACAAGGTAATGTGAAAATTGATAACCAATTCAAAGACACAATCAAATTTACTAGGCGGTACCAAAGAATCATTAGTGATAACACCACCAAGGAGCAAAATCAAATGCTGACAGGGTAGAAATAGGTTTGGTATATGAACAAGCTATTATTACCATTGCTGTGCAGCTATATAGTTTACATGTCCATACTTCAGAATATCCAACCCTAAAAAAAAAAGTATTTATGCAAATATATCACCAGATAAATTGCATGCAAGTATACAAGAACTTGAGAAAGAAAATATAATGATAAAACACTGTGGACTAGAAGTAAGGGGGTGCTGCCCATGTACACTATACAAACACAAAGGAGACTGTTGTATGCCCCTTACTCAGTAGAATCTACAAAATCCAAATAACTTTCTAGGGAAGGATCCACCCTATCTTTTATCAAAAAAAGAAAAAGTCTACACCTTTAGAAGAATGCCAATTCCTTTATCCCCTATACACACCACATCAAGCAAACAGTAACCCATTCGAAGGCCGCCTCCTCTCACTCGAAAAACATCCCCTCCTCCTATCACTAACAACCTCTACCACTGTTTTAGGAATACCCACAACACACCAAATAGGGCCGAAAGCAACATCTACATATTCCCTTGCTAATCAACAGTCGATAAGGAAATGATCCACCAACTCCTCTGGCTTTATAAACATACAACACCAGTTAGTAATATTCTTCCTCTTGATTAGGTTATCAACACTCAGGATCTTTCCATGTGACGGCTCTCAACCCAAAAAATAAAAAGGAAGCCACCTTTTAGAGAACCTTGGACTTCCCTTTTCAAGGAAAATCAACAGAACCATTATCTACTAAGCAATTGCCAAAAACGCTTTACCCCAACCAAAGTTTTTAAACAACATGTACAAACCCTCTGGAGTCATTGAGTTTGGGATGTCATCCACAAAGAGAGTATACACTCCATACTCCACTGATCTACTGTTTTGGTTTGCAACTCGTCTTCTTCTTATCACCGGATTCCATCCTCCATCCTCCATCCTCAAAGAGAGTATACACTACCTAAACTGGTTTAGTGGCACCTTTGTGGTAGAATAATACTAAGATCTAGATTTGAACACATAATTAATTGTCTGCTCTTCGAATAGCATTGCCCTTGAAATTATACTTTGAACTATTCTTAAGTTTTAACATGATGTTTTCTTTTTGGGTTTCAGGTACAACATAATATTGGATTACCCACTTTTAGTTGATGTATATAGGTTGTTCCGAGGAGGACCGTAAGTGTATTCTTTTATATAAGTTTTTCATTAACAATTTTACTAGTAGATTAAAAATTTTACTAACATCTTTTTACATTATATAAAAATGTTGATTATTAGTGTTATTAATTTTTCTTCTTTGTTAATATATCAATATTATCTTGAGATTTTTTTTTTTTTTACATTTTGAATTCCAACTTTATATTACTAAAAGAAATCTAATTTTCTAATAAATCAATGGTTATACACACAGATTACTAAAGTATGAGAAGGAGAAGTATGCAAGGATTGGAGTGATGCCTCGTTATGGCGATGCAGATTCAATTCGTTGGTTTGATGTTGAATCGTATTGCACTTTTCACATTCTCAATTGCTTCGAAGATGGTGATGAGGTATTTAATCTTGTTCAATTCTCTCTCCATTCTTGCAAAAAAGAAATTTTTTTGATGAATTTGAAACATATATTTAAAAAAAAAAAAAAAAACAGGTGATAGTGAGAGCATGCAAGGCTAATGAATCAATCATACCTGGACCGGAATGGGGTATAGATAAATTCAAATGGTTCTCAAGAGGATTTAAACCACTCAATACTTCAACCGAAGAAGACGATAATAATTCAATCAAAGATGGATTTCTCTTTACTTGTGTTCATGAATGGAGGTTGAACATGGGGACAGGAGAGATTAAGGAGAGAAATCTAACTGGAACTGAATTTTCGATGGATTTTCCATTGATTAATGAAGGTTACAGTGGTCTCAAACATAGATATGGATATTGCCAAGTCATTGATTCCGAAGCAAGCTCTATTAGTGGTAATTAAACTCACAGCACAAATGTTTTAACTATGCTAATTAAGTATTTTCTTTGTTTGATTTTTGTCTAAACATAAAATATTTTTCAGGAAAATCTAAATACGGAAGTATGGCCAAATTGTACTTTGAGAAACCAGATTCTTCTGAGTCATCTATGGTAATAACTCTTTAATTTTATAAATTCTTTTTACACATTCGCATAAAAGTATATTTCTGTCATTCTAAACTTTTAGACCATGTTTGATAATCAATATAGAATTTTTTTTTTTTTTTAGATTTGACCATATTCAAAATATCTTGCAATTTCTTGATAATATATGACATTATTAATATCATGATAGTATTTGTAGAATGTTAAATTAGGATAGGACATAAAATGAGATAAAGAGAGAAATATTAATTTTAATTTTCAAATAAACTAAAGTGGTTGATCATTTTAATCTCAATGCGGTGGGATTAGCAACATAATGAGGGTAGTCAAATACCACCTTTTATCAAAATAAAATGAGCTTTGCGGACGTATAAAAAATTTAAAAAATAAATAAAAATGATTCGCATGCAGGTTCCATATGTTTTTTTTTTAATCCTGATCGAAGGTAATAAGAGACTATATGCGACTTAACAAAAGTAATTAGTGACTCTATTTTGGTTAACAAACCAGGAGGGACATTTTGAAAAGCCGATAAAAATGGAGCATCATAAGTTTGCAAAGAACAATTTCTGCACTGGATCAGCTTATGTCTCTAAACCTGGAGGTTCTGAAGAAGACGATGGTTGGATTGTCGCTTACGTCCATGATGAAGACACTGACACATCTCACGTATGTTCGCTTATTAAATATACAAAAGATCTGCAGAAGCTCTCTATCGTTGTAACGAGAATTTTGTTTATTTTACTTAACACAAGAATACTGTGTTCGCTTACAGGTTATTGTAGTGGATGCCAAGAACTTCCAGGGTGAGCCTATTGCAAAAATTCCTCTGCCACAAAGAGTGCCATATGGTCATCATGGAGCTTATTTTCAGACTCCAAGTCAGCATTAGATATATTTGATCTGAATGTAGTTGGGATTGGGTTGTCTCGCTATGATCGCTTTTGCATCATCCCTCCCCTTTCTTTTTCTTTTTTGTTGATGTTTTCTTCCTTACGTGTAAGGTTCTCGATCATCAACAAAGTGTTTTTTGTTGTTAATCAAAAAAAAGTATAATAAACGAGAAAAGCCATACCTATCCCAATCCGGAACTCCAATGTACAGTTTGACTTTTTTAGACTTATTACTCGTCAAGTCTCATTCACAAAATTCATCAAGTAATAAATTTATGGATTAATTACTTAAAAGTCTTATCTGCATATTTAGTGGTAGCTTAGGTCCTATCAAAAAGTTTTTGAACCAATAAGTCCCATTTAGAGATAAAAAAAACGTTTTGCCCTTTAATCCCAAAACTGAGAATGTTCTCAATTTCAAAACTGAGAATGTTCTCAATTTATAATTATCAAAACTAAGAAATTTCTTAACTTTTTTCTAGTATGAACTGAAAATATTATCAAAATTAGGAAATTTATAATTATTAATTTTGAGAAATTTCTCAATTTTTTTCATGATTAAAATTGAGAATATTATAAACTGATAAGGTTCTAAATTTCAAAAAACCCTAGATCACACCCATAAATAGAGCACCTTGTTATTCTGTCTTTCAAACTGACTTCCTCGAGCCATTGATCGATCGATTTTTGGATTTCTTCAAAATGCTTCTTCTCCACCTCAAGCTTCTCACTGAGCCTTTCCTCTCTCAACTCAACATCTTCAATTCGTTCCTCGGTCCACCTTCGAATTACATTGACTTGTTTCTCTTTCAACTTCAAATCTTCAATCTGTTATTAAGGAAAGAATGAAAACTCTTCTCTTTACTCTCAAGTTCTTGCACACGTGACTCGATCGATTTCTAAATCAAATCGAGCTCTTCGTTGCTTTCGATTACTGATTCACGAATAGACTCCAAATTCTTCTCTCTCGATTCGAGTTCAGTGACGCAACCCTCCAAACACTTCTCGGTCAAATCCAAGTGGCCATCGAGATCCTTCCATTCGGAACCGTCGATGGAGGACTTGAACAGTTTGCCTAGAGTTTGTTGGAAGGGTAAATTGGTCTATTAAAAATTAATGGGACATGAAGGAGCAAATAATTTGTAGAAATTTTAATGTATAAAGAGAAATAGAGAATTGTATAGATATTGATTGTATTATTGATTGATATAATGTTATATATTACAATGATTCATGATTCCTATATATAAAAGAGGGTGAGTGTGTAGTAGGTAAGGAGTAGGTGAAGTGGAGGTGGTAGTGGTGTAGTGGGTTAGGTTTAGTGGAGTAGGTTTAAGTGGGTGAAGTAGGTGGGTTAGGTTTAGTGGAGTAGGTGAGGTGGTAGTGGTGTAGTGGGTTAGGTTTAGTGGAGTAGGTGAGGTGGTAGTGGTGTAGTGGGTTAGGTTTAGTGGAGTAGGTGAGGTGGTAGTGGTGTAGTGGGTTAGGTTTAGTGGAGTAGGTGAGGTGGTAGTGGTGTAGTGGGTTAGGTTTAGTGGAGTAGGTGAGGTGGTAGTGGTGTAGTGGGTTAGGTTTAGTGGAGTAGGTGAGGTGGTAGTGGTGTAGTGGGTTAGGTTTAGTGGAGTAGGTGAGGTGGTAGTGGTGTAGTGGGTTAGGTTTAGTGGAGTAGGTGAGGTGGTAGTGGTGTAGTGGGTTAGGTTTAGTGGAGTAGGTGAGGTGGTAGTGGTGTAGTGGGTTAGGTTTAGTGGAGTAGGTGAGGTGGTAGTGGTGTAGTGGGTTAGGTTTAGTGGAGTAGGTGAGGTGGTAGTGGTGTAGTGGGTTAGGTTTAGTGGAGTAGGTGAGGTGGTAGTGGTGTCACCCGCCACCGTTACACCCGCCACCTACCTCACCCGCCATCCGCCACCGCCACCCACTCGCTACCACCCACCACCCGTTACCGTCACCTACCCACCACCACCCGCCACAACCAGCTACCCACCACCCACTATCACCACTTTCCACCACCATCTTCCACCGCCACTTGTCACCACTTGTCATTTCTCACTTTTTTATATTTTTAAAATTTTTTAAACATTTTATCAATTACCAAACGCATTTGTAGTTTATGTTTTTCTAAAAATAAACAAAAAATAAACAAAAACCAATTTATAAAATTTTTATAAATATAAACTGAAAACGTAAACGTTACCAAACACACTCTTGATATTTTCTCAATTTGATATTATTTTGGTGCAATTGTTGGAGCACAAAAAACAACTTTTTTTTATCAAATTTGAATATGATGTTGGATTGGTGAACGGTTAGAGATGACCCAATCTATCTATCTATGTAAGCAAATGTAATTATTTTGTCAAAAAAGTCTCTAAATATTTAATTTTAAAATTTCATAATTTTGGAATTAAAAAAAAAAAATACATGATACATCCTTTCACCTTCATTCCTATTATTTAGGGCTCCTTACTTCTTCTCCCTATATAAAATAAAAATTAAAAAATTAAATATTCATCTATATCTACCACCATCAATAATATCTATAACATCCTCAATTTAATATCACATTATTAAAAAATAAAAATAAAAATAGAATCCCACAACTCTTACAAGTATTCATCCATGTTTATTCCACTCCCAATTTAATATCATGTTATCAAGAAAAACAAAAGAAAAAGTCACGACTCTTTTAACTCCCACATACACGTTTTTCTATACAGTTTAATCCAGTCAAATCATTATCTATCATCTACCCATATTTGCTCATAATTTCTCCATTATTGTTATACCTTGCAAGTTTGATGATTTGTGAAAATCATTACAAAGCCAATATAATGTTATTTCTTATTTTTTATGCATTTTTTCAGTATTTGGTACTTTGTATGTATGTATTTCTTTCTTCTAATATTTTTCAATTATTTATATATCTTTTCATCTTCTTTATTTTTATGCTCCTAATATTATTTATTACTTTATAAAAATTTTTGCAGTATTTATTACTTTTGTGTGTATATATTCCTTTTTTCTTGATATTTATCATTCTCTCTCATTTATCAATCTTTTATTAGAATAACTCATTTTCTTCATTGTTATAATTTACAAGTTTGATGTTCTATACGAAAATCATTACAAGGTTACATTTGATCAGTATTTATTATTTTTATGTGTATATATTTATTTTTTCTAATATTTATCATTCTCTCTCATCTACCCATCTTTTCTTAGAATAATTCATTTTCTTCATTATTACATTTTGCAAGTTTGATAATCTGTAAAAATCATTACAAGATCAGTGTAATATTATTTCTTACTTTATATGCATTTTTTCAATATTTATTACTTTGTGTGTATATATATTTTTTCCCAATATTTTTCAATTCATCTATACATTTTTTCATCTTCTTAATTTTTATGCTCATAATATTATATTTTTCAGTTCATCTACACATATTTTCGTCATTTCCATTATCACATTTTGTATGGTTTGAACTTGCTTGCTTTTTAATTTTTGGTTTGCTTTTGTTTTCCAATTTAATCAGATTAGATTTGTTTCTTCTCATATCTATCTATATCTATCTATACCATCTATATAAGCAAAAGTAGTCTTATGTCAAAAGCCTCAAAATATTTATTCCTAAATTTTCATAATTGTGAAAAAAAGTAATAAATACATGGCACTATAAATTTAAATAATTAAAAAAAAAAAAGAATCCACCGCCTTTCAAATCCCAATCCCTAATTTTTTGTGAATTCTAAAAATATAAAAAAATTATATGACAGACACTCTTCAAGACGTTCCACGTCTATTCATCTTTATAAAACATGAAATAAAACTAATATATATATATATATATATAAAATATAATAATAAGGAAAAAAAAAAAAAAAAAAAAAAAAAAAAACCCCCCCC